GGTAGGGGCGAGGCCGGGCGGAGGCCCCGCGGGAGCCGGACTCCCGAGCCGGGCTCCATTGTTGTTGGAGCCGAGGGAAGGGGGAGCAAAACAGCTTTAGCAACCCGTGAAGCCGCGCCTTGGAGCCTTTCCAGGCGGGTCCCCGGAGAGGCGGTAATGGCCGCGCCGTGGGATCAGGGAGCCGGGTTGTGCGGCGGAGAAGCCTCCCTGCATGGTGTGATGTTGTGTGTTTTTTTTAGAGCGCCTCGCGTCCCAGAAGAGCCAGACGAGCATCCCACTCAGGTGATGAGGAACCCTTCGCGCACCCAGCGCACAGCGCTGCTGCCGCTGGACGCCTCCATTGTTTGACCACAACAAGGGCCGGATTCTCACCCAGGTAAACTGGATGGCCGCGCAGTCCAGCTCCCTCTCACCTCCCACATCCAAAGGAATCCTCCTCTCCTCTTTCAGGACTTTACTCTAGTTTTCTTCCTGGGCCCTGCTTCTGATTAACTCAGTATATCCACCTCCCAGACATTTCCCCATCTGGCTTAATCTTCTCTCGCATCTCTCTGCCAAGTCACCTCTCATTTTCCTCAAAACTCAGCTCCTTTGTGAAACCTTCCTTGCCGAGCTCTAACAACTCATTCTCTCTAGGGCCAGCCTGTTCTGCTCTCTTCTGGTTGATAGTTTATTGGTTGTCTTATTCCCACAAAGGAGACTAGATATTTTTAAAAATTCTAAGCTACTGCTTTTTGAAAGGAACGTTTTGTGATAGTTTATTGTTTTAATAGGATCGAACTGTTTTTTGTTTATGTATTTTGTCTTTTTTTTTTTTTAAAGAGGGGGCCCTTCCTTCCTTTATAGATAACACAGCTTTTTTGAACGGAAAAATGACTTTCGTGTTGAACTCACAGGTTCATTTCAATTTTAAAAATTAGTTTTCAGTTAGCAAAGGAAAATATTTTCTTTGTGAAAATTAAAACATCACAGAGACGGCTAAAGTCTTTGACTACCACCCTCTGTCTCCAGAGATAACAGCTATTGTATGTCTGGCGTATATCCTTCTAGATCTTTAAAAATGTTTTTACATGAGTGTGTACTCATATTATCTTTGTTTCAATGAGTGCTTGTGTACTCTTTCAATCTTAGCGCATCGTGCGTTCACTCACTTTGCAGAACTGCTGCATCATGTTCCGTAGTTTGAATATTACGAGAGTTTATTTAGCTGTTTCCTGGTTGGGTGGCAGTTTAAGTTTTAACTTTACATTTAAAACAGCTTTTTGGGGTTTTTGTCCTCTGGTGAAATGAAATTTTAGTGAAGGGAGCTCAAATCTACGCTAATTATAGAGACTAAGCGTTTATGATGGAAGGTCTCTTTGGTTAAGAAATTTATGTGTGGGAGCCTCCACCCCTCCCCTCTTGTAATTATGACTCTACCACTTTAAAGTCCTGTGACCTTGGGGAGGACACTTAATCACTCTAAGCCTTAGTTTCTTTTCTATAAATGATGGTAATAACGTGCTGTATCTACTCCACCAAGTTCAGTGATATGATGTATGTTAAAGTGCTTTGTAGAGTGTGAAGCGGCATGTAAATGTTGAATTTATTAGCCTTTGTGATCCAAAAGGCTTTTTCAAATTATTTGCAACATAATTTATATTTTCTTTTTTGACCAGATGTGCATAGTACAGAATACTACAGACAGCCCACTTTGAGTCCTGTTCAGTTTTCTGATTTTGCTTTATTTTAATCAAGTACTGTTAATACATTAGACTTCTTAAAGAGTATTTTACCAGGCACACTTTTCATAGTGTTTTTCCTGCCTTAAAAAATAAAGCATATAAATTGGTCAGCTGTGAGTAAAGGATCAGCAAATGGAGCACTACATACAATAAAACTCATAATATTTAAACAAAACTTACTTCCTAGTGAAGTACGTTTGTATGTGTGTTTTTCTGTAGCAGTAGCAGATTCAGGTTAGCTTTTATGTTCTTTGGGTAAAATGGATTCTTACTGAATTTGCAGGCAGTATCAGTTTTAGCAGTTTAAGTATTGACTGAATAATGTGATGGGTATCATTTTAAGATGTAAGGTACAATTGGGGGCTTTGTAGATATTTTTCTTTCCTTCAGATATATATGAATGCTTGTAGTGTGGCCAGCAAAATCAACTTGCCTCTGTTTTCTTGGAGTTTATCTGTGGGGGCAGAGGGGATAAGTAATTAAACACAATCTCACAGCTGCATGTGTAATCACAAATGGGTGTCTGCTATGAAAGTTAAGTAGCATTGGCTGTGAGAGAGTATAAAAAGGAGACCAAATTTTAGACTACATAGAGAGGGCCCAGGAAAGACCTTTTTGCAAAAATTAGATTTGAGCTGAGATCTGAAGGATGAGTAGGCGTCAGTGTAGAGTGAAGTGGGGGATAATTTTCCAGGCAGGGGAACGGCATGTGGGAAGGCCCAGAAGGGGGAAAAACTTTGCCCATTCCAGGAACTGAAAGAATGACTTGTGGACAGATTATGGTGGGTGAGGGGGAAGTGTGGCTAGGCAGGGGGCCAGATCGTGTAGGGTCTTGTAGGGCAGGTTAAGGATGTTTTATTTTATTGTGAGTGAAACAAGAAACCATTAGAAGCGTAGGGTTTTAAGCAGGGGAATGACATAATCAGATTTGCATTTTTGAACAGTCACTCCAGCTGCTACACGCAGAATGTGGGGGTGTGGTGGAAGTGGGGCGTCAAAGTTGGGGAGAGGACCAGGTGGACCATTCCAGAGGCCTGAGAAAGGTGTTCTTCCCCTTCGAGTTCACACTGACATTGAACTACCAACTAAACTAAGGTGCAAATATATTTGATTTTTAAAAATCATACCTTAGTTTTAAAAAATAGGCAAAAGAGCACTTTTTAATGCAAAAAGTACACATATGTTAAACCAATTATTCATACTGGGCTTAACAGAAGAGTATCAGAGTCAAATTAAAAATTGGTATATTCAGCATGTCTTTTGTAAGTTTTGTCGAAGCAGGAATACATGAAATAAGAGTGAGGCTTTCAAATGAAAAGAAAGGATATATTTTTAGATGCTTTTGACTAAAAAAATGAGACTAACAGAAAAACTATTAGACAAATTGAGGAAGTGACTGTGTACACAATGCATATATAAAATTCATGGCTCTCTGAATACTAAGAATAACCTAGCAGAAACTAAAATGGAAAAACAAACAAAAAAGCAGGCTCTGATCACAGTTCAACAAAAAACATGAAACAGATTTAAGCACAGCCTCATGGAGACAAGTTTGATCTGCCTGGAGGAGACCAGAAAATATCCTGAAAGATACGAAAGAATGTCCTAAGTGGAAGGACAGGCCATGTTCCTGGATGTGATGTTTAAACATAATAGATACTCCTCTTTTGGTGAGCTGGACAGAATAATGAGTAATGAGGTTGGGACAAACCCTGTCTGATTGTTTAAACATATTGTAGAGCCACATTGATTTAAACAGGCTTTGGAGTAACTGTACAAGTCACTGGCACCTGTTCAGCACCCCTAAAATAAACTGTATATGGGAAATACGTATGACAGACCATCATGAATGCCCCCGAAGTCAGAAAGAAGATATGGAAGTAAATATTAAACATCGGGACAAGGGAGTTGTGCATGCTGAGGAGAACAGATGCAGGCTTTGCAGTCAGACATTCTTGAACTGGAATATCTTTAGTGTGGAAAACAGTATCTGCTGTGCAGATGTCATGAGAAAAAGAGACACAGGTCCTGGCACCTATGGGGCACTCAAATCTGTTAGTTAAAATCATTGTATTAGACTACGTAAACATTTAAAAGCTTCTTTAAGAAGAAAGGGAAAACCCTGGGATCAAAAGCCAAACCACAAAGTAGGAAAATACTTGTGACAAACGTAAGTGAAGAGTTAGTATCTTTGACGTGGAAAGACCTCCCACAAATCAGTGAGGAGAACAATGGAAATGTCTATGCGTGGTTGCAGGATGTGGATAGACAGTTTACTGGGCAGAGATGTAGTTTGCTCAACATGTGGAAAGATGTGTCGCCTCATGAATAATTACTTCGTAGTTACTCCTGTAGAAAAGTATTCTCAATAGGGACAAAACCAGAAGACATTTAAAAATAAAACACAAATGTACAAAAGCTTTATGAAAAAAGTAAACACCTTTACCTGAAGAATTTAAAAGCCAACCTAAATAAATGGGCAGACATTACGTGTTTCTGGAAGCGAGGGCATCTTTGTAAAAATTGTAATACTCTGCAAATTAAACTAATTTCTGCATAACTCCAGTTGAAATCCCAGTGAGACTTATTTTTGGACACGTGATAAATTGCCTTAAAAATTCATCTAGGGGACTAAACATGCTACACTGGCCAAGAGATTTTTCAAATGGAAAAATAGTGACGGAGGATTTGCTATGCCAGATATCAAAACATGCTGTAACAGTGCAGTAATATAAGTGGCGAACACAGGAATAGACAAATTGGTACATGGAGCGAAGTAGTGTCCAGTAACAGACCCACTTATATATGGGAACTCATTGTATAATTAAGTTGGCATTTTGAAACAGTTGAAATGATTGTTTGATACACTAGGGATAAATGACTCTTTATTTGAAAAGAAAGATTCTACTTCCCCATGTTCAAAATGACCTTTATTTGGATTAAAGAACTAACTCAAATATAAAAATGCCTGTAAAAGTATTAGAAGAAATAGAATTTGTTATGTTGGAGGATAGATTACATTGGAAAACAAGTTTTTTGGTATACTATTTAGGTAAGACCAAGGCCCAAAATCACGAAGAAAAGATAGACAGGTTTCAACTGTTATCCAAGTTGATACTATTTCTGTGTGACAAAAAACAAGCATTACAAGGTAACAGACTGGAGAAAAAGTTTCTGTAACATGTATAAACAGATAAAGGATACTAGGATTGACACAATTAAATGAATGGAGGACATGAATAGTTCTCAGAAAGAGAAATGAACGTGCCAAAGCGATGACATAGTTCAACCTCACTTGTGATTAGGGAAATGGAAATTAAAACAGTGAGGTGGTTTTTGTTTTTGTTTTTTTTGTATTTTGTTTTTTGTTTTTTTTTGGTGGGGATGGCTAGTAGGCCAAAGTTAAAAAGCTATCCATGGATATAGAGAAAAAGGTACCTCATCCATTGTTGGGAACATAGAATTGGTACGACCTGTTCAGATGGCGATTTGGTTGAACCTATCAAAATTTTAAAAACACTCAATGTGCTTTGATCTAGCAGGTATGCTTCAGGGAATCACTGATACGCTAATGAGAGGGTAGAAGTTAGTATGAATAAAGTCTGCTGCAGCATCATTTATAATGAGGAGAAGCTGAATAACTTTTGATACG